AAATAATATGTTTTATTGCGTAACTAATACAGATATTTATATAATTTAGATGAAAACAGCTACTGTTAAGATATATAGGATGACATTTTGTTTTGTTTTCTATAGCTAGTAGAGAAACAGATGTGCTCTTTGAAGTCCTGTTTGATGAAGAATTCCTTGGAGGCCTAACTATAAGGTGTGTGCAGGGGGTTTCATAGTCCTTTCATGCTATTGGTATAGATGGCATGAAATTGTTGCTGTTGGTTTCGTTGACTGTTTTTAATGCCTCTTTTTAAAACTTTCTGAAGAGAGTTGGTCAGTTTTTATTTCTTTTGTGTTTCTTTTTTTTTTCCTCTTTGAGTATGGATAATTTTTATGAAGCATATATTTTGGAAGTGCTCTTTAGGCTTTTGGGTGCATTTAGAAGCTTGTGATTTGTAGAAAGCAAATACGAACCAGCACAATAAAGCACGTGTCTCTAAAATGACTATGTAGAAAACGGGTTGTTACCAGTATGTCTTAAAACATGTAGATTGAAAAATGGTAATCATCTGTTCCTCTGAAGGAGGGACTCTGAACTATCAATAGGTGATACTTGGGCACTAAATTCTAACCACCATTAAAAACCTGAACTGTTCTTCAGGAGGTGGAGGCATGGACAATGCTTTTGTTTCAAAAAGTTTGATAACTCTTCTGTATTTAAGTAAGCAGGTAAACAACTAAGTGCACAAATTTACCCAGCAGGCTTTATTTTACTGTTGTTGTTAAATAAGTTATTTATGACGGAAATTAGAGGAGAATCTTACCTATTCCATGTGTTCAGCAAGCATAACACAACCCTGTCCCTTGCAAGGGCATTATCTTGTAACACACAGAATCGTCAGTATTCAGAATCATAAAAGAAGATACAAAACTGGTTAAATGCTGCGTAAATTCAATTTATAATTCTGCTACTGCCTTCAGTTTTCATCTCAGAAAAAAGAATAATTTTTTCCTGGTTCATAATTTTTTACATAAATACTACAGAACTGTGCTATAACAACTCACTAGTCCTTAAAATTTCTTTTAGCTGGGCACTGAAAGGTACAATATAAACTCAGAGTAGTAGTCATGACTTCTTTTCTGGTTTTGACAGCCAGATGCCAAAGAAGAGAACATTGGGATTATCGTTGTGTGTAACGGTACTAGATTTCAATACTGGATACAGTTTTCAGCCTCTTAATTTTAAAATATATTGAAATGTCCACAATTAAACTACATGAAACAGCTGTGTCATTTGCTTGTCTTAAGGTGCTCACCTGCCAGAGGATATCGTCTGCCATCAAGTGCCTTAATTAACCTGTCTCATGGTAGTCGGTCAGAAATGGGGAATCAAAAACTGACGGCCATAGTTAAACCTCAGCCAGCTGTGAATAACTACAATTCATACGTGTCTGATCTGTCATCTGTGTGCTCACAAAAAGTGCATCTAGGAGGCCTCAACCATTCTCCTCGCTCCCTTTTTGTTCCTACTCAAGTAAGACTTTTCCTTCATTTGTACAAAAATGTTTTTTTTCCTGGAAGCTGAACTGTGACCATGGTCGTCATCTTCATTGGTACAAACAAAATTTAGTTTTTACATTGGTATGTTAGAAGTAGGATAATCTTTATTAAAGGAGTTAATCAAATAATGAAGAGGACCAAAATTTCCTTATAGAGTATTGTAGCTCTATTTGCATTTCCAAGGCAAATATCTGGTGTCAACAAATACTTTGTTTGGGAGAGATGCAATTGTTCCCTTAAAGCTCTGTTCCAAGTAATGCTTCCTGTAGGCCAAGTTTGTCCACGCTCAGAAACAGAAGACATGATATCCTTGTTGGTTTTGCTTCTTGGTTATGATTTACTTTGTTTGAAAATACAGTAACGGGGGGAAGATTACAGGTGAATTGGGATTCTTACTAGTTTAATTAAACTTTACATTTTAATAAGTGATTTCTTTAAAAAAAATCACCTTAATGAGTAGCTTCATGTTGCTTCTAGGTGTGTTTGAGAAGAATTGTGTCATTTTTTTTAAGTCTATACACGAAAAACTACTTTCCAAAAGAAAATTTAAGGCAATGAAACACTTCTGAATTTTTTTATTTTTTTTTTTTCCTTGGTGGTGTTTTCTCTCATGATTTAGCAGATGAATGGAAGACAGCATTACAATCTCAGGGCTGAAAATCAGGGCACCTCTAACTCACCCCAGAAAGGATCATTTCTGAGTGGCAATCAGAAAAATAAAGTGAGTGTTCTGGTTCATTTAGTATTGGATCCAAATGTCTCAATATTTTAGGCCCCTATTTAAAGTGGCACCCTTTTCTCATGACTAATAGATGGCTTTGGCTTAGTACATCTGACTTTTTAGTCCTGATACTTGTCCCAGTTCTTGATGAGTATAATATTATGTGTTGTCCTTGTTTAGATTCTAGATTTTCAAAAGTGTTTTTTTACATAGCTGGGCTTCAGTTCTGTGGTAAAATGCCTATAATATTATTAAGCAGTTAAGACTCACTGATAAGGCATTACAAAATAAGATATTAATAATAAAATTTAAGAATGCAACCAAGTATGAGAAGGTATTTTTTAAACCATTTTGAATTACTATCTGTGTTTAATCATACTCAGTGATCATAACTTCTGTTTATAACAAAACAAAAGCAATCTCAAACTAAGATCATTTCTGTTTAATGGTGGTTCTTACGAAAAGATATTATATAAATACAACCTACCACAATAGCCTATTTCATAAATACCTGCAAGTTCTAGTATCAGTATGAAAATTCCTGCTATCTGAGCACTTTTAAACTTGGACCTTAGGATTTTCAGAATGTCTTTATGTATGATCAGCTGTTCAGAAGTTGAGTTTATAGCTGCTGAGCTTGTTGGGGGTGTTTTTTCTTATTCTATCAGGCACAGAGTAAGCAAGATGATGAATTTTGCAGCATATGGCAGTCATTGCAGAATTCTGGGAAGTCTCACCACATTCAGCAAAACATGCATGAGAAGGTTAGTACATAAACTTTAAACAGATCCCTGGAATCAAAATGTGAAGGTATTTAATTTTATATGTCAGTTCATTACATCAGAAAACTTTCTAGTTAATGCTACAAATAAGTCCTCTGGATGAAAGTATTGTTACAATGGGTATGCATAGCTGTGGAAGGAGATAATCATGGTACTACTACGTAAATATTAGAGAAACAGTTTTATGGTTAAGCTTTGATCTTTTAAATCCTAGGGTGCAGTTCTACCTCAGGAAATGAAGCTGGGAACTGGCAATCAGTTCTACAAGCCAGGATTCAATGACAGCAGCTTTAAAGGTCAGCAGAGAAAGCAGGAGCCATATAAAAAATGTAAGTACTATAATTAGACACTTTGTTTAGGAAAACTACTTGCTTTAGCTGATCTTCATTGAAATCCTTTTGAGGTTTTGTGGTTATCAACAGAAAATAGTTTATTATAGTTATATAAACACTACGTTGCACTTGTTATTGACAAATAATGTCCTAGTGTACATACTTGAACTTTTTAATCAAGCTGTTTAGCGTTATTATGACTTTCCACTCATCTGATTAAAAAAAAAGGCAAAAATACAAAACCAAAAACCAAACCAACCACGACTTGGCTTTGACAATTTGTTTGTGATCATGTTTGTAGAATATAAAATTAGATATATTATTGCATATGCTTTATTTTATCCTACAAGAAAAACATACATCAAATGACCTGTAAAGTATGAATTAAACATCTGATGCAGCCATTCAAATCAGTGCAACTTGGTGTACTTGTACAGAGTTATTTATTTTTTTGAGTCTTTATTATTATAGTTTTTAAGAGCATTTCAAAAGAATACATTCTTTTGTAGTTAAAGAAGATTCCAAAGTTACAAGAGGTGAAAGTCAGCCACATAGTAAAATATCAAACAAACAGGTAATTTCTTCTGTACTGAGTAAATGTATTCTTGTCTTTTCATTTTACTCTGATCTGATTCATCATTTTACAGTTTTCTCTTTAACTGGCATCTTTGTCGATTCTTTTACTAGGTAAATTTTAGTTCGGATATTTTTTTTTTCCTCTAGAGGTTTTATAGACAGAAACTGAGAGAAAGTGCGTAAGATGTATAATGAGGATACAAATTATTTTCCTATTCCTCTTAGGATCTGAAAGCTATGCTGTAATGGCAATACACAAATGCTAGGTTTTCAGTAAGCTGAAATCTTCTAAGAATATTAGCTTCTGAAAGCTATTTGCAGATGTATTTCTAATGTGATTGTGTTAGAACGAGTAATGGAGTATTAGTGTTCAGTAATAAATGCTGCAGTTTATTTCAGAATTTTGCAGGTGTGAATAAGTACAATGTCAAACTTTTGAAGAGGAATGAAAGCCCCAACATGCCGGGAATTCAGAAAGCTGCAGTTGATGGTTCCTGTACAGGTGGAAAGGTAGGATTTAAACAGTTGATTTTCTTGCGCTCTTTGAATAACTTCAGTTTCCAGTTCATTTTGTTCCAATTAATCCTGGTCAGTTCTGTGCAAATTCATGTTTATAATAGATACAAGACAAACCTGTGTAACTTTTATCATTCTTCAGATTGATTCTGTACTAGTCAACACTTGAATCTTTTGTATGCAAAACTTGTAGTGTTTGGGTATCTCTTCACACTCTGAGCAGACATGACAAGCTAAAAGAAAAAAAAGTCTTGAATGAGCATAAATTTAATCTCAGATGTATACCATTCCTCTTGCATCTGCTTGTAATATACTAAGTTGATGTATCTTTTTTCTGTATTTGTTTTAAGAAGGACAATGAACTTGAAAGCCTTCTAGCTTCTTTGAAAATTTCCAAAGAAAATGAAGTGCAGACTTATTCCAAGGAAGCAAGAGCTACAAATGAAGAACATCTGTCACCACAATCATTTGCTATGGTGTGTATACTGCAGGAACCATTATTTTGCAATTTAGCATCTGCTATCTTAGCATCAATGCTTCTATTTAAAGAAACTCTGTGAAACCTTATATTGCCCTTTGGTGAGCTTTTAATTAGCTATTCTCAAAAATAATAAACACATTTGTTTATGCTAAGATGCTGTTACCTGTGCTCTGATAAAATGTAACTGATAGGAAAACAAAAATTCAGATTGGCTTACCAATTATGATATTCAGAGTTAAGTGAAAAGGTAGCGTTACCTGAATGCCAGCATGTCCCTGAATGCTTTATTTTATTTTTAAAGAAAGGAACACAGATGCTCAAAGAGATTTTGAAGATAGATGGCTCTGACCAGGAAACAAGGAATGAAGTGAAATCCCAAGTTAATGATGTTCCTGCTCCCCCTAGCAGACAAGATTGCCATGGAGCTGCCTTGCAATATAGACAAAGTAAAAAAATGGGTATGTTTGGACATCAGCTCATAGTTCAGAGCTTCACCTTGTAGTGGCATTTTAGAATTATAGAATCATAGAATAGTTAGGGTCGGAAAGGACCTTAATATCATCTAGTTCCAACCCCCTGCCATGGGCAGGGACACATTACACTAAACCATGTTGCCCAAGAACATAGCTAACAGTATAGTACTTGATTTTCAAAATATAGTATGTCCATCTTTTTCAGTTCTATTTCTTTATTCAGATCTAAAATTCTCTTTATATATAGTCTCCTGGGTTTTGTTAATCAGATATGAAAATACCAGAAAAAATGAAATATGCCTTTTTATTTTCTGCTAATAACAAAGTTCTCTCTTTTCAGTGCAGGAAATGTTTGTGCTACAGCTTTTTTACTTCTTATTTTATTTTTATTCTTTTCTCAGCTGCTTATATGAACAAGCCTCATAGCACTGGAGGCCCTCAGAACACACCAGCACTGGAAACCGGAGGTCACCCTTTTGCTTGTCCACAGCCTGCACTATCTACTGTTGCTGAACTTTGTCGTATTTGTTCTCTTGTTGGAATGTCACAACCAGATTTCTCTTTCCTAAAAACACCACAGGTAAAAAGATTTTTCTGTAAAAGTTCAAGTTCTCAACTTTGTTTCAGCTGTCCTAACTAGATGATCTATCACGTCCCTTCCAACCCTGATTATTCTGTGATTCTATATTAAACATTTGGACTGAAAATCCATCTAAAAATAAATCTTAGCTCCTTTTGTTGCCTTTTTCCAAAACAAACAAACAAATTCTCTGTTTCTATCTCAGTTAGTTTGTCAGCAATAGATTCCCTCAAAAATCTTATCTCATTTTTCTAGACAATGACAGTTTGTCACATAAAATTATCAAATGGTTTGTTGGTTCATGGACCCCAGTGTCATTCTGAAGCTGAAGCAAAGGAGAAAGCTGCATTGTTTGCTTTACAGCGTTTGGTGAGTATGCAAAGAATCTTTTAACATCTGTATCTCTGTTGCATTGTGTCTGTTTGTGATCCTTTGGTTCCTCCTTCATAGAATGCTATAGGAGTAAACTTCCCTTCGCCTCCACCTCCGCCAGTGTTTCCAAATTATCAGCCACTGGGAGTTCCTGTACCACCTGGATCTATTCCTCCAGTATTTGCACAACCCACTGGTAAGTATACTAATACAGGTCACTCTGATAAGGATGTGAAGATGCTAAGGTACATGCACTCTGAAATGCAGATGTGACTTAGTGCTCTTAATTGTCCTGTCATCTAGGTGTAGTCCTGTAAAAGCAGAACTGTTTGGGATTTTTTGATAATAAATAAATACTTACCTATTCTCAAGTAAACATGAAGAATATGTGGCTTTATTGAAAGAGAAACAACATGCAGACAAATGTAGTTGGTGTCCTTCTGGGGTCTTGGGGAGTTGGTGCCCTCTTTTTGAGGAGAGTGAGCTAAAAGTTACTTGTTTTCACAGCTAATGTAATGCCTCCATCGTCTCACATGTTCGGTCCAGTGTCCTGGGGAACGCCAGTGCCTAAACATTATTATCCTGGCTCCTATCCGGGAAGTGTGTCTCTTGCAGGAGCTATACCTGTTGGTTCTCACAACCAGTTTATACCTCTGCAGGTAAGATTGTTGGTAGGTTTGTCTTAATATTCTGTTTCTGTAAAAAACAAAAAAAAGTGCCTACATGATGATTGCAACAACACCCCTGCTATGAAGCACTATCTAGGATTAGAAAAGTATTTCTAAAATTGTATGCATGTTTTCTAAATGTGGAATATTTGCAGGTTTTTGAGAATGCATTCTGTTAAATAATATTTATTTAATTTAAAGGTAACTAAAAAAAGGGCTGCTAGCAAGAAAAACTTTGAGCACAAGGAGTTTCAGAGTTCCCCTCAAGCTGCACCACTAAAGAATGAACAGCCAGTGTCTTCTGACCACACTCAGCAAGATAGTTCTTCAGCTCCTTTAAAATCTCCTCAAGCTGCTCAATCCACTGTTTCATTTCAAGACAATGTGGCTACTCCAAGAGTTCCTCATAACAAATCAACACCAAACACTTCCAGCAAGCGAAAGTCAAGAAAGCTGGCTGTCAATTTTGGCGCACCAAAATCTTCAGAATAAATATGGTAGCTAGGTGTATCCTATCTTTAACTCTTCCCCCACTGTTATGTTCTATCATTTAAAAAGATCAGAAAGCTCTATTAAAAAGGCCAGCCACTTTAAGTATAATATTGAAAAAAATACATTTTATTTACTATGATTTTCAGGTCGTTATGAAAACTATAAAAAAAATATATTAAGCCTTCATTACTTTGACTTAAATTAGGAAAAGCTAGGAAATGCTGAGTTAAGGTTGCCATGTCATAAATTGTGCCTAGGTTTCTAAACAGTGGCTTACAGACTATACTGGGTAAGCAGCAATAACAGTGGCAACCTTAATTCAGAATTGCCATGCTTTTTGGGAGGGATATGGAACCGTAATAAGTTGGGCATCTAACATTGCTTTAGTATGACACTTGTATTCTAGCTTATTTTTAAATAGAGAATAGGACATAAAGGAAAAATTATTTAAATGCAGCTTTTATATTGGCTCTCCAGGTCCTTCTAAGTTGAATCAGGGAGACTAAAACCTAACTACAGTGGAGCTGCCAAATTTGCTTTAACTATGAACTGCTAGGTTTTATATCAGAGGGCAAAAACTTTTCAACCTGCAAAATGTAGGTACTGCTGTCTCTCCAGTATTAGAGTGGCAAAAAGTGGTTGCTGATGCAGAACCTGTTTCAGGAGGTTAATTCATAGGATGAATAAGAAAAAGTATAAATTTGCAAAATAAAGACCTCTTCAGTAATGTACCTGTGATTTTTTTTAATCACCAGCATTATCCATTTCATTGTTTTCTGATGATAAAATAGCATAGATGTTTACTCAGATCTACAGAGCCTCCTAAAATGCTAGCGATACCCTGATTTGGTATTTTTTTTTCTGAAGTAGAAAAATGGCCAGAGTTTAAAGATGTCCATGTGTGTACATAGCTGTCAAAGTTACGATTACTTAAGAGTCCAATTCTCCCTGTAATAGCCTGCACCCTGAAACTTTCTCTGTGGTGGGTTTTGTTGGGTTTTTTTCGTTGCTAGTGACTTTAAGTATTTATTTTTCAGTTTCATGATAGAAGTTCTCTGTAGCAAAATTAAATTATCATTATTATGTTCCATAAGAATATTCAGACAAAAGGTTGACCTGTATTTTTGGAGGGAGATCTGTTGTAAAAGTAACTCCATCATTCTTGGTTTACATTGGAAAAAATGAAGGCTCAAAGGTGCCTGTAGCATTTTTAACCCACAAGTACCCTACCCTTGTTACTGGCATTAAGAAGAAATCTTCAGTCTAATTAGTGATTCATTTTGTTACCTCCAGACAGGTTTCGTGTTGGATCTGCAAGTCTGCAGATTTTCTTTCAGTTCCCCAACCTTGTTCTTTGCCTCCATTTCTTGGTGTAGTACCAAGTTTCCCATTGTTACTGTGGTATAGGATTTTTTTAATATTGATTTCTCTGAAACAGTTGTTGCCTCAGCAGCATTTGTAGAATAGCAGCAAGCTGCAGGATCACAGAGGTAAAAACAAGGTTGAGAAATTTTATTTCATTTTACCCGGTATCACAAACCTTGTAGAATAGTCTGTATTCAGTCTTAAAATATGTTTTGTTCTCTTTATATCCATCTAGTCTCAGGAGGGTTTGAAAGCATATTCTGTGAAGGGAAAGTTATATGCTTCAGTGATTTATTTTCATTAGCAACACAAGACTGCCATGATGCAGACATGCCAACATTTTGGAATTGTTTATGTGAAGTTATTGGACACAGATGCTATTCCCCCATATCTTATGTGAGCTATCTGACCATCAGAGAAAAAGATCTGTTCAGAAGTTTTTATCATGGAGAGGAGACTATGTTAAGTTCTTGCATTGCAGAATTGTGACGTATCTGGATAGTCAGTTTATGCAGATCTTTTAGAAACAAAGTTATGAAGGACACTGTACTCATCACTGGTAAACACAGCAACTTTTATTAATAATTACTTCAGACTAAGACTTCCTCTCCAAGTAGAATTACTACGTTTACTATATATAGCTGATTAAACACTTTATTGTAGCTGCTGCATATTGTATTAGTCCCTGGGTTTTAGTTTATATATTCTATGATGCTGATTGCCTGGTGCCCAGTTAATTACAGTTTTACATGTCCTGCTAGATGTGACATCTGCATTGATCTATGCCATTTCCCTATGATTTCAGTTTTATATTTTAACAAGGTGATTATGTTTAATTCATACAGATATAAATTTAAGCATTTGTTTTTCTCATAGATATAAAGTATTTTGTAAGCACTGGAGTTTTTCATTAGATCTTATACAGAGCAGTATTTTACTAAAAATCCAAAAGGCAAGACTTTTATGTGCGCATTTTTGTAGTTTCTGATTTTTTTAAAATAACTTTTCATTGTTTATCTGCCAAGTGAAATGTTTTAAATTTGCATATGAATGGATACAGAATGTATTTTTTGTGCTGTTTAGTGTTAAGTGTGCATTTGCAGATTTTTAGCATGTAGTTGCACAAAGGACTGTGCAAAGATATTTTCAAATATGAATATATGATACACTGAAGGAAAAACATTCATAAAAGTTAAATGCTATATAAAACTTTAATGCAATAGAATAATTTTATAAATTGTGTCTGTGTCTGCTTGGATTAAATATTGAAACAAGAAACATCATTTATTTTCACTGGTTTATTTCCAAATACTATATGGGAAACTTCTTTAAGCTCCTAACCAAAATTTTAAGATGCAAATTAAATATCATGATGTCCAATTTCAGTGGTTCTCAGAAGCAGCAATTGCCACCTCTGAGCTGTTTCTTGGTGGCTTTCAACTACTACTCAGTTAAAGATACAAAGTTCGTTGAAAAGACTGTTGGTTACTTTGCAGTTAAAAGCATTTAACTAGATACTGATCTTTCAAAATTTCTTTGGCCTCTGTTACCCATTAGATTTATTAAATTGCAATAGAAAGGGCAGTAAGATTACTTTCCAGCAAGTTTGGTCCTAGTGGTTCTTAACAAAGTGCAAAAGCAGCTCATGACTTATAAATAGGAGCCATGGGTACCTGGAAATATTTGACACCTTTTTCTGTACCTGGAGCAAAACACTGTGCTGAGGTTTTTGCTAGACTAGAGTAAGAATGGTCACCTCATTTGTAACAAGGCTTCTGAATGAAGCATAATGACAAACTGCACTAAAACCAGTGTAATGTGTTTGAATTTGAGACAAATAGCAAGTTACATTTCTAATTAATTTCCTTATCCCCAAGAATAGCAGATTTTTTAAATCCAGTACTGCCAAATTAGTGTTACTAGGTTTTACCCTTATTTTAGACAGGGTAAATAAACTCACCTTTGTATTGTGTATACCATGTGCTGAATTTTGCTCTCTTTCACCAGTTATCTCTAAGATTATGTTCAAACTCTACTTGTTCTCTTCTAAAGCATAATGAACACTGTAGTCATGCCAGTTAATTCTTAATATTCTTTGGTTGTGAGTTTCGAACTTTGTTAGGCTCTGTCTTTTGCCAACTGCAGCACCAGCTTTTCACATAGAGAGATGTTATTTTCATTCTCATAGATTATTGTGTGAATCAGCTTGTTTAAAGCAACTGGCATAAAAAATGGAGTACACCCTTAGCATAACCAGCTGCTGAAACTTTGTGTAACAATATTCTGTGTAGAACATCTGGTCGGTATATACTTTCAGGTCATATTACTCAACATGAAGATGCCAAGATAAAATCTTGCATTTCTTAAGCTGTCTTCAAATTATTAATCAATAGACTTAAGTATTGCTGTTATCCTGCATGGCAAGTTCTGCCTCCTTTATATTCCCATCTCAGTAAATAGCACTAAAGGAAATTAAAACAAATTAAGTAAATGGATAACCTTAAAATACATCAGTTTGTGTGTAATAAATGTCGCATGGACACTCCCATTCAAAAATTAAGTTACTTTTGTTCAATTTAGTTTAGTTCATCAGACCCTTGAAAGTGAGGAATCTCAAAGTAAGAATGGTTACTTACAGTAAAGGATTTTTTTAATTCTTTTTATTTGAGATGTGATCTCCAAATGTATTCCATAATCAGCCTTTGTTACTACTGAGAGACAGTTATATTCTTCTCTTTCTGTCTCTGGAAAGGGGACACTGTGACACCAAGGGCATAAGGGCAGTCTGAATACACACTCTTGGCCAAAAGAATCCAAATTCAGGTGCATGAGGACCCATGAATTTTGAGACTGTAACATATATATTTCGAAGAATCAGGTATCATGAGGTAAGTAGCTGTTGTTTATTAACAAAAGAATCCATGGTTCCAACAGCAGTTCCTTATTACTGCCAATTTTTGATGGGGTGTTTACTCTTACTTTTTTGCAATTTACGAATTTCCTGTTTCATTTCTGCTTTGAAAGCCAGTACAAGGAGTTGCAGTGCCATCAAGTGCAAGTAGTAAACCTGAAAGGACAGAGAAGGCATTCTTCATTAATACTTAGTATGTTTTTCTAGTAAAACTTAGTAATTGTTACTGCATCAGCAATGCTTTATTAAAGTTGATAATCACCCTTAGTCCTGTATTTTGTGTAATTGCAAGAAAAACAAAGGCTGGCAATCAAAAGCCAAAATGTAATTTCTGTGCATGTAACAATAGCAATAAATCACTATACTTGCTATATATGAATAAAACTAGAAGTTGTCGATTTCTAGCATTTTGAGGGTAAAGGGTGAAGCACGAACCGTGATTCCAGTGCATGTGAGTGATCTCTTTTAGGGTAACCTGTGCATGTTTTAGATTTAGCACTAATTTGTGATAGACTGTGATATTTAGTATTACATCCTGATGTTTCTTCTAGTACATACTTCTCTGAAACAGCTGTAATGCTCTGTCAGTCACTGAACCTTAACTCAGCTGGGTAAATGGAGAGCAGTGTAGGCTGCTGGAACCTCTGAGTTTACTCAGCCTATACTGAGATGATTTGTTCTTCTAGATTTTTCTGTGGTTTTCCTTCCCCTTGCTTTATTTTATAACTCTCCTTCCTTCTCCCTCCGCTTCCCCAAGCTGGTCTAGTGGCTAGGTCTTATTGAAACAATAATTCTTAAGTACTTTTTCATCCCTGTAGCCTTTAGTATATCCATTCTTTTCTTCTTGTTTCGTTGATGGATATTTTCCTCTCTATTTTTAGATTTTTTTTCATGTGAACTTCCAGACTTTGAAATTAATGTTCTTTTAAAGAGCTGTTCAGTCCTGGATTTTCTAGGTACAAATGATCATTAATCGCATGTGTATATACAAACACATGTATATGCAGATATGAGACTCAGTCTGTTATTTTCTTAAAGCTGCTCATAGTGCTGTCATTTTTAGTCCATATTGTAATTCCTTAAGAGCATCCAGAGGATGATGGACATTATCTTTCATACACTTTTTGCACATCTCCAAATGTAGGTGTTACTTGGGATG